GGTACGATTACAGCTTCTAAAGCCTTGCCAATATCAATATGCCAAAACATAGCACAAGCTCATTCCGCCCAAATGTACCGTCCTCGGTACTACCAGCTTGTCATTCATCGTCGTCCCGATGACATAATCAGGCAGACCTCCCTCGAGGTGATATTTTATTAATGCCACTGAATTAAAGGGAATCATTTTCCGTTTGGCAACCAGTAACCATGAATTCACGCGGTGTAATATCCTCCTCCATGCAAATGAAAAGAACCTCAACCTACTTTAAAGGTCACAGAGGTCAACAACATTTTAATCGATTTGTTCTGAAGAACCAAAAGGAATGGATTCATAAGATTTGACTTCTTGGGATAGAGCCAACGACGTTTGAGAAGGAAAATGACATTGACCTACTTTCAAGGTCACAGGAAAAAAAATTCAAACACTTCGAACAACTTCTGAAGAAGAACCAAAAAGCATAGAATCATATAATAATATTTGACTGATGGAGTCGACAAAATTTGCGAGTGAAATATTTGTAGTACAATATAATATTTAATGAGAATATTTTGCTATGACTTCTTAAATATTCAGGTGAGCGATACAGGCCCTCTGGGACTCTTGTGTGTTGGTGTCGGGTTGTGTTTTAAATACAAAAAAAACTCTACATCGTTTCACAGTGGTTATATCTAGGTGTTCTGTCGATGTCGCGTTGTGTTACATGTATAACTAGATGTTTTGTTGATGTCACGTTGCGTTATAACTAGATGTTTTGTTGATGTCACGTTGTGTTATAACTAGGTGTTCTGTCGATGTCGCGTTGTGTTATAACTAGATGTTTTGTTGATGACACGTTGTGTTATACCTAGATAGTTTGTTGATTTCACGTAGTGTTATAACTAGATGTTTTGTTGATTTCACGTTTTGTTATATCTAGGTGTTTTGTTGATGTCACGTTGTGTTATAACTAGGTGTCTTGTTGATGTCACGTTGTGTTATAACTAGATGTTTTGTTGATGTCACGTTGTGTTATAACTAGGTGTTTTGTCTTTGTTGCGTTGTGTTATAACTAGATGTTTTGTTGATGTCACGTTGCGTTATAACTAGGTTTGTATATGTTGCGTTGTAGTATCATTAAACATTGACATCTGGTTTCATTATATCTTTTAACTTTCATTATAAGTCGTACCATTCATGAATATATTTGAGGATAAATCCTTGCTACATTTTGTATTCAAAATGACAGTTAGCTTTGGTTTACTATGCTTTCAACATAGGTAAAACAATTATAAGTTTAAAATTCTTTAGATGTGTTCTGATCGTGAATATAGAGAAATTTGACTTCTAAACATTTCCAAATCATGTACAGGCCGAAGATACATGAGGTGGTCGAAAGTGGACTTGGTAACTATCTAACCATTGATTATTTATAGACACGCATGTGAGGGATGTTTCCTGTTCATTTTAGTATAAAATGAAAATCGCTAAGTGGCACGCAAGTAAGTAGGGATCAGCTCGGTGAACTGTTCCGGAACACGTTATCTGTTACTAGTCTTGACCTGGCCCACAATTGTTATCATCACAATAGCATTATTGTAAGATCATTCAAATGAAATTAACATAATGGTATTTCTAGGTGTATGTGGGCTGACTATCATATTACACCTTGTAATGTAGGGAGGTAATTTATATACAATGATACCAAATAGAATGCTGTTCGTTTAGAATCCTACAAAATAAGTACAAATCATTAAACACGATACCCTGTCAGCTCATTAAACAATGTAACATCTTTGTCATGTAGAACGTGAACATTGTTGTTATTTATAATTAGTACTTCAGGTTGTCATTATAGCAGAGTCAGTGTTCTCTCGTGTCGTGTTGAACAAATTCGTGGTGCGCTATCATTGATATATAATTTGTTTTTGTTTGCATTCTTGTTTAATTACTGTTGTATTACTTTTTCAGTATAATCATGTTAGATTATCAGTTAAGTTTAATCCTATTGTGTTATCATTTCAGTTTTAATACATTTGTGTTATCATTTCAGTTTAATACCATTGCGTTATTAAGTTTAATCCTATTGTTTTATCATTCAAATTTAATTCTATTGTGTTAGTTGAATTTAATCCTAGTGTGTTATAATTTCAGTTTAATCCTATTGTGGTATCTTTTCAGTTTGATCATATTGTGTTATCATTTTAGTTAAATACTATTGCGTTATTCAGTTTAATCTTATTGTTTGATCATTACAATTTAATCTTCTTGTGTTATAATTTCAGTTATATCCTATTGTGCTTTCATTTCAGAATACAGTTGTAATTGGTGTTGTGTTTTCACTGTATTTTTGTATATATTTGTAATATTTTTGCAATATAATTCGTGTTATACTTATGAGTGTTCGCATACACTAAGTTTATTGCATGGTGTAGTGTTTGAAGATGTTTCATTTCGTTTATTGACGCGTGAACTATGTATATATTAACCGCTTGCACTTACATAGGTGGTAATGCTTATTCATGAATTTAACTAATGTTCAACAATACTCTCCGTCTATATACATACGTCATGTGGCATACATGACTAAGTATGTACTTTGCCCCGATGTCTTCAAAGTTTGATATACGGTTGCAGCATTTCCGGTTGGACTTTAGCCCCATGTTTATTAACTTGGATGAATACCCATACTATTTATAGACACGCCACGCTTTGTGAATGCGATTTATACTCTATTTTAGTCTGTGTTTAAAATCTTACAATGCCACTCTAGCCAACAAGGAATGGTTCAGAGATGTGATCAATTTCTGAAATCGGTGACTCATCTTGATCAAATTCACAAACGTTCTCAGAACGAGGCTGAAGTTGTTTCGATGTAAACAGTACGAAGATGATAAAATTTCAATGTATACATTCGTAAATTCTTCAATTATGCATTAATTAACTTTTTAAGTATTAACAAAACAATTTGATAGGAATCAATTTCAAACTCTTGGCCAATTTCGTCAAAGATCTGATTACGAGTGGCAAGGAACATAGTATCGACAGTTCCGGGTTCCGTTGTCAGCATCACAATAGTTGTGTATTGATTTACACAGCTAACTATGGAAGAAACATTCTGAGATACAATTACAATAAACATCAGCATCCCACAGTTTGCCTTGTTCGTTAACTGAAAGAAAAATAAATCTTGCGCTATCAAGTTTCCATGCCACATGCTAAAAACATCACCCTTTGCACAAATAGGTAGATTTATATCTAATCAATGTTGCTGTGTATTTACATATTTGTTAATTAAAATTAAAAGAAATAGCCTTGTCAGAGTTAAGTGGTACTTTACACAGATATCGTTAAAATTGTGTTAAACGGTGGATGATATACTATCTTACTGTTCGACAAACGTGCCCCTGATAGTGTGTCTCGGTACATGTGTATCTAACTATTCTTCTGTACACACGATTATATAGAACCGTTTTATGCACCCGTTTTATTATTCCTTGGTGCATTTAAAGCAAAACATCGTTTTTGAAAACAATTCCTAAATATGTAAACAATAAATAAGTCTGTGAGTATGTTCTTTCGCTAAATGTGTTTCGCGAATAGCAAGCGTCCGAATAAAGATAAAAGCAGCACACTGTGAAACATACAGGGACACCCTAATTTTGCTTGAAATAAAGGAAAACAAGGTTGTTGATACCTAATTAATCTTGGTATTACACAGAACATGAATTCGATTGTTCGGCAGTCTCGAATTAGATACTGACTAATACTGGGTCAGTTTGACAATCGCTTTCTAATACCTGTGTATGATACTATGGCTAAATGATTTCACACAGTCTGTAACTGGCACTGCTGAAACATGTATTAAGGATCTACATACCACTGCCAAGCACTGTAACTATGTACAACTATGAAATAAGTATACTGTCGTTCTAAACAACTGAGCTACCCAGTCAACGTAAGTATACTGTCATTAGCATTGTCGTTATATCGTAAACGTAAGGCATGCATGTTACTTTATGTACCAAAAATCAATGGAATTTTCTTATGTGATGCCTGCAGAGGAACAGAGGAACATGACCCCTTACCGTCTGGTTTGGTTGACTCACGGCCCAGATATCGAAAGAGAAAATGAACATAGCTGTAGATGGGACGTTAAACAATACTTAATCTGACACAAAATACTGGAAAGTTAAATGATATTCAAAAGGTTTTAACTTCTCTTTAATTCAGATTCTCACTGATATGAAATGTGAGTGGTAAATATCCTAATATTTACTGTAACTATCATTTGTCAGAGGATGAAATTCAATTGATGCTCTTTCTCTGTCTGATATAAAAGTCGATTTTTTTTATTATGCTAATAAGTGTTTCTTGTGTTTTGCTGTCACTACCCGAGTTCTAGTTTTGAGGACGTGACATTACTTGGATTTGACCTAGATTTAGGTGGCAGATAGTGCAGCAGACGCATACCTTTCCGGGCACCTGGTCTTATTCTCCTTGTACTTGTTACTCTCCGTATAAGTATTTTCTTCGTAATCTTTTGCCCCAGTGTCATCAATTTGAGTTCGAATTCGTTTTTGACACTTCGGTATTCTCTTGTTGTTTCATTCCGCATGAGGTCAATGTATCAACTTGTGGGTGCCGCCGCTACCAATGTTAATTCAATTTGACAGAAAATAACATCCTTTAATGTAAAGCTACTAGAACTCTGTCCATTCCTAGTGGGTGTCTGTATCGCTTTGACCAAAGGTAAATAAGGGAGTCATTTTGTGTCATTTGACAATAGATGTTAGAATATAAGGATCTCATAATTGTTAACAAAAGAAAAAGGATCCATAAAGCGTCTACATGACAAATGTCCTTATGTTCGTGTGCGCCTTCCGTGTTCTTAATAGCTGGCTTTATCGAGGCATTCACATATAACAATGATCTGGAAAAACAGAAAAGGAAATCACAAAGATTAAATCATGTGAACCAGTCCTTGCTTTAAGAGACGCCATTTAAAACGATTGTGTAAATACCCTCCAGTAGGATGACATTGCCTGTTAACCATTAATCTACCCGATGTACTAATAGCTAAGTACATCGCTATCAGGGACCGCACGCATACAAAAGAAGTAACCCTCAACATGCATCATGTGTAATTCATGTGTGCTTACATGTGTGATTATTGACAGTGTGCATCTGACGGATTTAAGATGAAGACGGTAGTTTTATTGATAGCCGAGTTTTTCTGCTTCCGTGAGTAAAAACACTTCTTATCCATTGATAATGTGAAGCATCAAACTTATATGTATTATGAAATATTTGTTTCATTGGTTGGGTTAATTATATAAACCAGGTGACCAAGCTATCTGTGTCGAGAGATTCATCCTACAGTGACCAACATGTACAGCGTGTACTGATGTATTATACCTATCACTGTCAGGTTAGCTGTCGTCTGATCAACTATCACTGATGTCCGACCCGACATTGTTCAGACTCACACCCGTAACCATGATCTACTTCGTTTTAGCTATACAGAAGAACATTTCCTTGAATCACATGGCTTCCTAAGTTTAAACAACATTATCATTCAATAAGCAAACACACGTCGCATTATACTGATGGGATTTAAAGGCAAAGCTTCGTTACATTCTATTTCAGGCTTGTAATTATTAACTCATATCTAGGACGATTTGGGATGGGTTTAGATGGGATAGGAATAACACATAGGATGGGTTTAGGTGAGGTGGACACGACAAGTTTAAAGCTAACTAGCAAACACAGTTGTAGATGACCGGGGTTAGAGGAGGACACATTAGTCTCTAGGAACTTCGAGCTTAGGTTAAAGTGTTCAGTTGCAATGATATCCATGTTTTATTTTAAGGTTGACCAGAGTTTTAGATGTTTACGTTAAAATATGTACCTACTTTTATAATGAGAGTTTAACAGGGGTTCAGTTGTTTAGGTTAAAATATGTACCTTCTTTTATAATGAGAGTTTAACAGAGGTTCAGTTGTTTAGGTTAAAATATGTGCTTGTGTTTGTAAAGCGTAACAGAAGGTTGGATGTTAAGGTTAAAAGATGTACATATGTTTGTTAAGTTTTAACAGAGCTTTTCGGTTGTTAAGTTTAAAAGATGTACGTGTTTGTTAAGATTATTAGAAGTTCGGATGTTTACGTTAACATATGTTAATTACGGTTACCAGAGGTTCGTATGTTAAGGTTAATAGATGTACGTGTGTTTGTTAGGTTTAACAGAGGTTCGTATGTTAAGGTTAATAGATGTACGTGTGTTTGTTTAGATTAACAGAGGTTCGTATGTTAAGGTTAATAGATGTACGTGTGTTTGTTTAGATTAACAGAGGTTCGTATGTTAAGGTTAATAGATGTACGTGTGTTTGTTTAGATTAACAGAGGTTCGTATGTTAAGGTTAATAGATGTACGTGTGTTTGTTTAGATTAACAGAGGTTCGTATGTTAAGGTTAATAGATGTACGTGTGTTTGTTTAGATTAACAGAGGTTCGTATGTTAAGGTTAATAGATGTACGTGTGTTTGTTTAGATTAACAGAGGTTCGTATGTTAAGGTTAATAGATGTACGTGTGTTTGTTTAGATTAACAGAGGTTCGTATGTTAAGGTTAATAGATGTACGTGTGTTTGTTTAGATTAACAGAGGTTCGTATGTTAAGGTTAATAGATGTACGTGTGTTTGTTTAGATTAACAGAGGTTCGTATGTTAAGGTTAATAGATGTACGTGTGTTTGTTTAGATTAACAGAGGTTCGTATGTTAAGGTTAATAGATGTACGTGTGTTTGTTTAGATTAACAGAGGTTCGTATGTTAAGGTTAATAGATGTACGTGTGTTTGTTTAGATTAACAGAGGTTCGTATGTTAAGGTTAATAGATGTACGTGTGTTTGTTTAGATTAACAGAGGTTCGTATGTTAAGGTTAATAGATGTACGTGTGTTTGTTTAGATTAACAGAGGTTCGTATGTTAAGGTTAATAGATGTACGTGTGTTTGTTTAGATTAACAGAGGTTCGTATGTTAAGGTTAATAGATGTACGTGTGTTTGTTTAGATTAACAGAGGTTCGTATGTTAAGGTTAATAGATGTACGTGTGTTTGTTTAGATTAACAGAGGTTCGTATGTTAAGGTTAATAGATGTACGTGTGTTTGTTTAGATTAACAGAGGTTCGTATGTTAAGGTTAATAGATGTACGTGTGTTTGTTTAGATTAACAGAGGTTCGTATGTTAAGGTTAATAGATGTACGTGTGTTTGTTTAGATTAACAGAGGTTCGTATGTTAAGGTTAATAGATGTACGTGTGTTTGTTTAGATTAACAGAGGTTCGTATGTTAAGGTTAATAGATGTACGTGTGTTTGTTTAGATTAACAGAGGTTCGTATGTTAAGGTTAATAGATGTACGTGTGTTTGTTTAGATTAACAGAGGTTCGTATGTTAAGGTTAATAGATGTACGTGTGTTTGTTTAGATTAACAGAGGTTCGTATGTTAAGGTTAATAGATGTACGTGTGTTTGTTTAGATTAACAGAGGTTCGTATGTTAAGGTTAATAGATGTACGTGTGTTTGTTTAGATTAACAGAGGTTCGTATGTTAAGGTTAATAGATGTACGTGTGTTTGTTTAGATTAACAGAGGTTCGTATGTTAAGGTTAATAGATGTACGTGTGTTTGTTTAGATTAACAGAGGTTCGTATGTTAAGGTTAATAGATGTACGTGTGTTTGTTTAGATTAACAGAGGTTCGTATGTTAAGGTTAATAGATGTACGTGTGTTTGTTTAGATTAACAGAGGTTCGTATGTTAAGGTTAATAGATGTACGTGTGTTTGTTTAGATTAACAGAGGTTCGTATGTTAAGGTTAATAGATGTACGTGTGTTTGTTTAGATTAACAGAGGTTCGTATGTTAAGGTTAATAGATGTACGTGTGTTTGTTTAGATTAACAGAGGTTCGTATGTTAAGGTTAATAGATGTACGTGTGTTTGTTTAGATTAACAGAGGTTCGTATGTTAAGGTTAATAGATGTACGTGTGTTTGTTTAGATTAACAGAGGTTCGTATGTTAAGGTTAATAGATGTACGTGTGTTTGTTTAGATTAACAGAGGTTCGTATGTTAAGGTTAATAGATGTACGTGTGTTTGTTTAGATTAACAGAGGTTCGTATGTTAAGGTTAATAGATGTACGTGTGTTTGTTTAGATTAACAGAGGTTCGTATGTTAAGGTTAATAGATGTACGTGTGTTTGTTTAGATTAACAGAGGTTCGTATGTTAAGGTTAATAGATGTACGTGTGTTTGTTTAGATTAACAGAGGTTCGTATGTTAAGGTTAATAGATGTACGTGTGTTTGTTTAGATTAACAGAGGTTCGTATGTTAAGGTTAATAGATGTACGTGTGTTTGTTTAGATTAACAGAGGTTCGTATGTTAAGGTTAATAGATGTACGTGTGTTTGTTTAGATTAACAGAGGTTCGTATGTTAAGGTTAATAGATGTACGTGTGTTTGTTTAGATTAACAGAGGTTCGTATGTTAAGGTTAATAGATGTACGTGTGTTTGTTTAGATTAACAGAGGTTCGTATGTTAAGGTTAATAGATGTACGTGTGTTTGTTTAGATTAACAGAGGTTCGTATGTTAAGGTTAATAGATGTACGTGTGTTTGTTTAGATTAACAGAGGTTCGTATGTTAAGGTTAATAGATGTACGTGTGTTTGTTAAGGTTAACAGAGGTTCGTTTGTTAAGGTTGATAGATGTACGTGTGTTTGTTTAGATTAACAGATGTTCGTATGTTAAGGTTAATAGATGTACGTGTGTTTGTTTAGATTAACAGAGGTTCGTATGTTAAGGTTAATAGACGTACGTGTGTTTGTTTAGATTAACAGAGGTTCGTTTGTTAAGGTTAATAGATGTACGTGTGTTTGTTAGGTTTAACAGAGGTTCGTATGTTAAGGTTAATAGACGTACGTGTGTTTGTTTAGATTAACAGAGGTTCGTTTGTTAAGGTTAATAGATGTACGTGTGTTTGTTAGGTTTAACAGAGGTTCGTATGTTAAGGTTAATAGATGTACGTGTGTTTGTTTAGATTAACAGAGGTTCGTATGTTAAGGTTAATAGATGTACGTGTATTTGTTAGGTTTAACAGAGGTGCGTTTGGTAAGGTTGATAGATGTACGTGTGTTTGTTAAGATTAACAGAGGTTCGTATGTTAAGGTTAATAGATGTACGTGTGTTTGTTAAGATTAACAGAGGTTCGTATATTAAGGTTAATAGATGTACGTGTGTTTGTTAAGATTAACAGTGGTTCGTATGTTAATGTTAATAGATGTATGGGTTTGACATTAATGCTTGCTAGTCTCTCACGTCTATCGTGATGATTTGTTTTATAAGGATTGATTTAAGGTAGGGGTATGTGATTATTTTGAATGGTAGCCTGTTAAATCGATTGTTATTGTTGGAACTTTTACCTACTTGTTTAGATTCATAGTCAATTTGAATTCTGCCTGGAAATTTAAAATTCCATGAAACACTAGTTTTTCTTAGTCTGCTTGTGCGTTCACAGTTTGCATGAATATTAATGAATGAAAGCAGTATTATACTTCTATTTACCTTTTTGAGAAAGACATATTAGAAATGAAAAGTTGTTTGTTAAAAAGTAGCTTTGAGTGGACCTCGGCTTGTTATTGTATAGATAGAACAGCCAATCTGTATGAAGGTTCAGTGAAATCGAATCTTACAGTTATCGATCATCAACCGGACCTTCTCCTTCGTAGCTGATATTAATTCCACATTTAGTATAGGTATATAATTAACGCAGTGACAAATATATATTTTAGTATGTTTCATTGACAAAGAATTCGTTACCTCATCTTCCACAGACATATCATTTTGTATGGTTCACGAATAGAATATTACAAAGTAAATATTCAAGCGGATTGAGTAAATGGGATGCTTGAAATCCGGTCCCATAAGCGAAACAGCACATAAACTCAAACATTTACATTTGCTCATCCGAATATGTTGGCTCTTGTAATACAGAAGGGGTTAACGAAACAGATCACTCACTCACTTTTTTTCTGTTATGAAATAATATTGTTCAAACATCAATAATGTTTTGAATATGATACCAGTTGATAGAAAGATTCTGTATTTCAAAACACGATCAGGGAAACCAATCACAGGACTTGATATAGACCAGGTATCACTGATGGTCCGGCATAGTCTTCTTAATGAGATTTGCATTCTAGTTCTGTTCCGTAGAAAGGAAAACACAGTATTTTTTAGATTGAACTTAACAGATAAAGGACAACTTTATCTGTTATTTAGGTTAATCTTTTCAATATTCGTATGTTCGTTGACCGATATGTTAACATGGCGTACACTTTCTGGTGCCAATGTACACATTCAAATTATTTCCAGACCAAAGATATGTTTATTTTGGCACAACGCAAGAGAAACAATCAGCTCAACTACCCTGTCCGAGGTGAACAACACGGAATGGTCCTTAGGCAAATCATGTCTATACCACTCATAACAGGCTTGACCGGACTCGCGTGTCTAGACATTAATGGTCACTCGTGATCAGTGTAGTATACAGAGCACACTCGTATATCGATACCGTGACGGTACATAGTCAATATCCGGCGTAGTTGAGATAGCCTTTCCAGATAGGTCGAGATTAAAACCACATTATATTGTCTTTGTAATACTTTCTCTCTTTAGACCATGGAAAGAAAATTATATCACAAAATACAATATTTTAAAAATTCCTTCCATAAAAAGCTTACTGAACTTAGCCATTGTTCTTGCACTTTACGAAATCATATCGTGTAAAATATGAGATTTATTTAATCCCATCATTCCTGATCCAGGTGACTGGATCATTAAATGTCTCAAATAACAAGCATACAATATAAATAAAGGATAACACATTGTACTTCATACCTGTGGTATTCAAATATATCATGAATTTACTTGTTGACAAAGGAAAGACACTTGCCATCTCGGACGATTATTAAGGAAAGGTTGCAATCATATTCCATGAAATAGAATAGAAACAACTTTATAACAATCATTCTGTCGCAACCAAACAATGTAGCGTGCACCAAAAGTCTATCAAAAAAAGAACTCATTGGGATCCATTGTGGACTATACTGGCTCCAGTGGTTACAATGTCAAGCGTAAAGCGGACATATTGGACCACTAGTAGGACAGTTCTTCTTTGTCTTCTGTTTAGTGGACATTGAAGAATCAAGACATGCTGTATTCCACTGAATGTGTATCATAAAAGGCGACATATCTTTACGAGGAGGACAATGTAGAGTCCAAAATCTATCTGCTGCCTCCTTAGCAACACTTGGGATCTTTTTCGCTTCGTTCCTTTCGTTCCTTATTTCTTTCTCTCCTACCTATTTACTTTTTCTCTCCGGCGGAGTCCCTACAGGTAGGGTGAAATTATTGTACCTGCTGCCCCCATCGCATGATCGTAATAGGCGACTTCATTTGGGATCTTGTCTTTTCTCTTCTCTCTAAACAACTTTCTTCTTCCTGTGAGGAAGGCTTTGGGTTCTGCAGAGCTGCCAACTCTTACGATTTAGGCGTAATTATTACGATTTTGAGGTCTGAATTACGCTAGTACGATTTTCTAAGTAAAATTACGATTTTTAAAAAAATCCGGAATTTTTCCGTTTTTTTGTTAGTTTCGCCGTTATCCGGTCCCGATGTCCGTTTTCAGTATTATAATCGCAAATCAGATACACACGTGCGTTTGCATCGATTCTCGAGATAGGCTGGAGTTAATTCAATGTGAAAAGGACGTTTGTAGATGAAGTAAAATGGCGGAAAAACGTGTCAAACTGGACGGGCAAGAAGACGTTTCTCCTAGGAAAAAAAGGAAATTATCCATTCCGACGTTTAGAGGGGAATATCCGAAGCTGTATCCGGACATTGTAAAGTCTGCCAAAGGAACTACTTATGCCCGATGCATTCCGTGTTGCTGTGATTTTGTGATTTCGCACGGTGGCGGAAATGACATAAAAAAGCATTTGAATACTACCTGAGATTACTATTTCTTAATCTCTAAGGTTGGCAGCTCTGGTTCTGTCTTATGGTCGAGACATACCAGAGTCTGTAAAAATGGTAGGTTCTACTCCTACTTAACGCTCATCAATTTAGGAGTGGGACGACTGGTTCGCCCTTTATTAGTATAATGTGACCGGGTGGGGTGTCCTGCTTGGTGTCTTCGGCAGTGTGTTTCAGTGAGGTAGCACTATAAAGTCGGCATCAGTTCCGCACTATCAGAAGGAGACTAACACGAACATATCGCAGCCTCCCAAAACACATACGCATACACTACACGCATGCATCTTGCACACAGAGGAGGCCGTCCTTAAATGACCATAGCTGTTGATAGGACGTTAAACAATACTAAACCAACCAAACCAAACTCAACGGCGAATTCTGTCTAGGCATCTCATAATTATTTCATAATAACAGTTCTTCATATGTTTCTGACTGTAGTAAGGAAGTTAAACCACAAGCAAACAAAATCAATGTTCTCGACTTGTATCAACTATTGTTACATTTAAAGCTAATCAGGGAAATAAATATCAGGATTGTGGTTCTTAATCTATTGCATAGTAAATAGTGAATATGTACATATACTATCTGTTATAAAATTTAACGACCGAGGACGGGAAAGTACGGGGGACCTTAAAGACTTCCTTCGAGTTATCTTAGTTATAAAATGTAACAGAAGCAAAAGAGGAGGAGGGTATATCACATCTAGGGATGAAGAGTTCGGGCGACCTCAACCTTTAATCGAGATATCATATATATTTATTTAAGGCAAACATCAAACACAAACCTCGTTTTCAAGGTGAATGCCAGGAGCATTGCCCTTGGGAATGATTCATACCTGATATGATGAAATACGTTTGATAAAACATCATGGTCATCCTTCATAATTCGTAATCGGTAACAGTACATACTGAGTTCAATGATATGCCCTTACCCAATTGTTATACAATATTAAAACAGTACATATTGAGTTCAAAAATATATATCAATCCTATTAGTAATACAAAATATCGTTAACGTTGTCTAGCTGACAACAGAAAGTCCAGCGTTTTATTTTGATTAAGTAAGGACTTGTATACAACGTCATCACTGTTTGTGCTGTCCATGTTTTAGTTTATATGATATACTAGTAACATGAAAATATCTAGCATTGGGGGAATACCGAAATTAAAATATTAAAAAACTTGATTCATACTTTAATTATTTTTTTGTTTATTCAAATCAGCCGTGAATTGTACATTTCTACAAAATATTTAAATACTATTCACTTTAGTTGCACTAGTGATATCCTATAACATGTGTAATTATACCCATTTTGACGTCACAATAATCACATACTCAATTTATGATGATTGGCAAACATAACGGCGTTTTGTTCATATACAGTAAATTATGAAACAGATTGTGATGTTTTACAAACATACGTAATTAAAGATCAATCTGCTAAACATAATCTCTCATTCGTTTCCATTCTTCGGATTATTTTGAAATTTGGTCGGTTATATTTCTCAATATATCTCAAGTATTGAGTGCTTAACGTAAGAAAATGCATATAAGTCATATTACTTGAGTAAGAGAGCTGCTAGGATTTAACGGCATGTTCAGTCATACCCTTTAATAAGCCGAAGATGTATATCTCTGTCTGACTTTTAGAAGAACAGTTTTGACATACAAAATGCTAAACTGTAATATTCATTGTGCTTTTCACAATGTGTTATCTTATATAAATGATATCCCTGCTCGATCCACAAGATGATCTTCCATAGAGAATCTTTCGTACCTTAGTCGGAACGAGATATTAAGAGATATTTCAAATATCAATGCTCTGTATTGTGAAATTGATTGAACGATAACGTCAGAAATGCCTGCGGTGTAGATGGTTATAAGAAAAACGATTATTTTAGACAACCCGCGCTAAATGATTGTGTGGATTATTTTACTTTTGTATATACGCGGTACATATGTATGTATGTATGTATGTATGTATGTATGTATGTATGTATGTATGTATGTATGTATGTATGTATGTATGTATGTATGTATGTATGTATGTATGTATGTATGTATGTATGTATGTATGTATGTATGTATGTATGTATGTATGTATGTATGTATGTATGTATGTATGTATGTATGTATGTATGTATGTATGTATGTATGTATGTATGTATGTATGTATGTATGTATGTATGTATGTATGTATGTATGTATGTATGTATGTATGTATGTATGTATGTATGTATGTATGTATGTATGTATGTATGTATGTATGTATGTATGTATGTATGTATGTATGTATGTATGTATGTATGTATGTATGTATGTATGTATGTATGTATGTATGTATGTATGTATGTATGTATGTATGTATGTATGTATGTATGTATGTATGTATGTATGTATGTATGTATGTATGTATGTATGTATGTATGTATGTATGTATGTATGTATGTATGTATGTATGTATGTATGTATGTATGTATGTATGTATGTATGTATGTATGTATGTATGTATGTATGTATGTATGTATGCATGCATGCATGCATGCATGCATGCATGTATGTATGTATGCAGGACACCATTGATAATAACACTTTCCTGGATTATATTAACTTTGATCAGTATTATTATTACAATATCAGTTTAATTTATCATGGAAAATGGTTTTGGATAATGTACATATTGTTAAAGCGATACAAATGTAATACATACATGAAGAAGATATTCATGCTCTTCCGAATGGCTCCCCATATAGCGAATGAAAACAAGTGAGCTGTGTGTAGGTCACCTGATGGCTTGTTTTCGTTTCATAGGACCTAAAGCGAAGCTAATTCGAGACCACTTCCAATACGTGGGAGGCTTTTAGAAGAGCGTTGCATGTGCATGGCTTTCTCTTAACGAGAACATGCTGGTGCATGGATGAATATCCTATAATACACGGTTGAAAATTAAAGTTTCTTTATATCGCAGACTTGGTAGAATAACTGACATTCTAGGGTAGCAATGTCATACTTGACGAGGCATCAGATAGAAATATCATTTCATCATTTCAGCTAAACTTAATTTCGTTATTTTACAGAGCTGTGCCTATGTCAGCTGAAGCAAAGCATCATCGAGGAAGGGGACATGTTTCGTTTCTCCTGTAATGTCACCGTTAACCCACAACATTTGCTGTTTGATCCCGTGTTCTTTGCGGTGACGAAAGGGGACGTCATGACCGGTTTAGCAATCAACACACGACTCGAACCTAATAACGGTTTCCAACTTCATCACTTTTCTACGGGACCAGAAAACCAAACATTTGTAATAGAAATATCAAAACGTGAGCACTGCTTTTCCTGATTCTAATGATTCAAAATAATTTCCAAAACATAGATTTTAAACAAACCCCCTTATTTAGCATACTCCCATATATAACCCGTAATGTAAATGGTTGTAAACTTTGACATTATCGGTATTGTAGTTGTTTGTTTGTATTGTCTGTCGCGGATTATGGGTATGCGTGATATCATTTATACTGTGAAGGGACATCCAGCATTTCTCTAATGCCGGTCTTATTTATTTGGGGGGAAAACAATCAATAGATTAACTGCCAATAGTAATAAATTATAAGAAAATATACCGATTAAATGTGAACTGAACGGCAGCCAGACATCGTTTGTGTGTTGATAGAGGACCAGTCTACTCTCGTAAAGGAAGTAACACGTTGTGACATGTACAGTAAATACATTTATATACAACCTTATATTACCTTTTAGTAAATTGAATGAACCTATTTGTATCTTAAGAGGAGGAAGTTGTTCGACTAAATGTTAATTTTAAAACTAGCGACTGTGCCTGAGTAAGTTGAAACGGCTGTTTTAATTTATTTTCCTGGTATTTTTCGAATCAATTGATTTCATTGGTGTTAATTATGAAAAATATTTTCATTTGTTCATACATATCGACAAAATAAGCATATAACTTTATATGTCGTGTAATAAAAGATATCAGAATAAGCTTGGAGTGGGGGCATGTTTTAAAGGAATTCTTCTATTTCTTAGACAGTATGATGCCGAGTAGGTTGTGTTAAATTGTACGAGAATCATACACATACTCAATGTTAACTTGGTCATTTTTATGGACAAATGAAATAGGCATTAAAATATTATAAAAATGATATATACAACCATTTTGATGATATGCTTTAATTAAAGGAGTAACACTCACAGATTCGGGGAACTATACCTGCGGCACAAAAGTACAATACCACAAAACAGAAACCCTCAAGGTTATGAAAGGTGAGTCGTGTCATTGATACCTACATTGTCAAAGGTGGTCAATGGCACCTTCCGAATCGTACAGTGTTTGATAGGGCCAACGTTAAGACCAAATCAATGGTGCATAGCATACCAAACTAGGCCGAGAATAACAACGATCGAGGTTTTCCATTGTTGTTTAAATATAATCCGCGTCAAATTCAATAATGTATTGCCATCTACAATCTGTTATATTTATGGATACATTAATGCCTACAATTGAAAAATAAGTATAACACAATTTGTAATGTCAAAGTTAAAAGAACATGTATTTCGTACTTTTCGTAAGCAGTGTGATATTTAACATTGTAGTTTTTATGGTTGAACATACACCTTCAACTTCTTACAAGACAAAAGTCATACGCGTTGCCACGTAGCTGTAAAACTGTTGGTTCAGTTGTATACCACAGTGTTGAATCTGACATATCCTAATATACAGTTATATTCGTGCCTAGCTGATATGTAACACAACCTTAAAGACGACATTTTGATATAAATCTCCCTTTAAACTGGAAAGCCACTGGTCAGATAGAGGAATTGAAATGTGCAATGATTAAATGATGATACTACTATTCTATAAACAGCATGGTTTTAGCTGCCATCGTTCGAGTTCGAGTATTCGGGAAGCAGGGTGATTATTAATAATAAATAATTGTTTATACGTATAAACAGACTTGTAGTTATGTTAATAAACTAACACAACAGACATAAACATATTTATATGACGTCGGCGCTAGCACTACCTTATTGCGCGGTGCAAACACATCCTCATGTGAGCTATCTACAATTGTGGATGTATTCCGTGCAAATAAAAAATTATGTCGTTTGCGATGTCTGATAAAAAATAACACCTGTGTAGGTTTTCTCCAAACCATAAATAACCTTCACTGCTGACGTCATAATCATATTGACAGTCACGGTAATCGTACTGTGATAAACTAAATGGCTTCAGATAACCAACATTTGCAAAAAAAAATATCTGCTTAAAAACACAGATTAGGTCACGTAATATTTAGTCATCTCGTGTTTCCCGAACAAAGTGTTTACGAGCAAAATACCTCTATATTTTACTTTTGAAATATTATATTGCAACGTTTCTTTTGTCAAAGATGATAAAATAGAGCACCGGTTTAATTCACTGTTGTGCTCACTGTAATGAGGATGGCAGACCCTGCAATTTCTAAAATCAGGACTGACAGTCCCTAGTGGTAAGTGGTGCTGCAGTCAGGATTGACGGTTTCTTAAGTCAGGATTGTCGGTCCCTGCTGTTGGCAGTTTCTAAAACCAAGGTTATCTCCCTCAATTGAGGATCGACTGTCCATACCTCTTTTAAATATCGTCCCTGTTTCGAATGTTCCGTTTCACCCCTGCCAGTTATTACACTAGCCCTGATATAATTATCATATGCTAGATAGGTATTGCACTAGGTTATAAACAACACCATAGATACATAGCTGATAGCATATCAGATAACACTCCGTAGATAGCCGATAAACGAAAAATGATCAAGGCCGAATGTCAAAAAGTAGGCCAGAATGACAAAGAAAACATTGTGATCATCCTGACATGTGCCCATCGGAATAAGCATACCCATTATCATATAATGATACCATGAAATACTTAAGACCATCCCTCGGATGAGCGAACTGAGAGTCATATTCATTAAACATTTCTCGTTCGATGAAATTATGATTTTTTACAATGGTCGGCTTCATAAATATCCAACAGGGATGGCAAAACCTTGACACGCACTCATATCCCCTTCCACCAGAAAACAAATAAGCGTGAAGTTTAAGATTATATTTCTTTATGTTCTAGCTTTATTAATAATATATATATATATATTTTACAGGGGATATTGGTCATATATCTTTAACGTTACGAAAAATCGATCAAGATGTGATATCAGGACCGGAAGTCACAGTAAACAGAGATTCAGGGATACCAGACCTCCCGTTACAGGAAGTTAACCTCACTTCCGGCACTTATAAATTAGTTTGTGCAACACGAAGGCAAGATCTTAGCATATCATACGTCATTCTTATAAACGGCATCAAAATTGCTCGAACAGCTACTGTCGACGTGGACTTGGGCTCTGAAGATAGAAATGTGGCCTGTCGCGTGAGGACAACAGACAAATTTACAGATACCCACACTCTCGGGTTTTCTACCAATGTTCGTAAGTTTCCTATAGTGTTTCACAATCTATTTGTAATTAAAGGAGTGGTAAGTTCCCAGTCCTTATACGTTGGCTATCATATGTCATACATACTCTATTCTTCTTTAACTTCCCAAGTCATATTTCCCTGACAGCGACAACGTTCACTGTTGTTATTATTCTCTGATAAGATATATTGGCCATTATGATAAGGAAACGTGATGTTTTGTTTCCTCTCAGTTAATCATGTTTCCCTTCGACAAGTGTAAAAAGATGTAAAGTTTTCTGTTCCATTCGAGATACCACTGCCTTAACGACGTGGACAAATATAACTTTTTGAATACATTGCAAAACGACGTACTTTCTTGATATATTCAACAAAACTTTCCACATATTTGGTCATTTGTCGGACAGCAGTCGTCCGTAAAGCCCTGCCTAGATTTCCAATTAGCAATATTCGGGCCAGTCAATTTTGAATATTATGATTTCCTGGACAGGTGTGTCCTAACATAAGCAATATCTCCTTAAAGCGGCTCCACTATGGATAGTCCGATTTATTCTGACGTTTTGTCGACTGATATTTTAGAAACAAATCGTCACTTTCACACACATGTCGCACATGGATCGAAAGATCTATTCTTTATGCACAAGATGAACATAAATTACATGCCTCAAACAACCAATACAATCACTAAAAACATATTTCTTACTCTAGTTTATTGATAGACCCGCCTTCTAATGCCACGTGACTAAAATATCACCGGCCTACGTCATAACGTTGGGAAATACCTTCGGTAACGCGAGATCTCGTCATGTGACATTGCTCATGGCCTAATTTCCATTAAAAACATGGGTTGGTATAGAAAACGTTGGAAAATACTGTTCGTAATGATCTTTGAAACATGTTATTGACACTACCTAGTCCAAAAGAATAGATCTTTCGATCCATGTGCGACATGTGTGTGAAAGTGACGATTTGTTTCTAAAATATCAGTTTGAAGTGCGACCCGGGCGCGGGTCGCTAATTTCCCGCATATTATAGAGGGCCGGAGTTCTGACGTTAATCGACGATCGACAGACTGATATAAAAAAGTCGATAACACGTCAGATTAATTCGGACTACACTATGGAGTATCAGTGTCGGAGATCATACTTGCTTACTGTCTTGTATCTTCTGTGATCGAAACTATTTCCTGTCTTCGACTAGAGCCGCATCATCTTGAAATGCTACCAGTTTTGTTGGGATTGATGAAGTTATACGAAGTAGATTTCCATTGTATCTTTACAAGATAGATACAAAACCAAACATAAAAAAATATGAGGTTGATACGGGAATTATCAGCAGTATCTACTTTTGTATAGAAAATAGTATGCCATTCATCAACAGGGATGTTACATTGCAGACTAATTTACAATGTTTCGGATGGCTGATGGTAGAACCCGTTATTGAATTTCCGTATAATAACTTCATTGTCCATATGATGGAAACTTGATTCAATTGTATTTATTTAGATGAAGGCTTTGTTCCAACTGTCTCCTGCCTGCCAAATTTCTGGGTCAAAGGAAAACGGGATGAAGTGGAATGTCATGTGTCTGGAGTGGCGTGTGAGGCGATATCACTGGATACAGATATGTTGTCCACCGGCCAGACCAACGACGCCATGGTTTTGTCCTGTCAGGTACATTACATTCCCTACAGTATATATGTTTGTTATTTATCACAAACCTAAAAAGGGCTAGGTCTATTACCCAGGACAAGGGGTATATGACTCGCTCCTGGGATTTCATGTCCGCAAGAGCACAGGTCCTGATGTTGTGATCAGGAGTTTAAAATCATTGGGAAGTAACTTTTAGTATTGATAATATAAATAATGTTATAAAAATGTTCCACAATTAAATTAATTGATTAACAGGTAATGTATCTGTAAAAAGTAAAAACAATAAGATACCTGCAAAACAGTAGGACGTCTGACAAATAAATAACATATTTAACAAAGAAATCAGAAAGGGGACGTAGACACCCGATACAAATGTCAAGGGGCCGACACAGAGGCATACCGTCTGATATATAAGAAATATAGGAACCATAAATAACAGATCTGACAAACGCTTCTGGAATATATCCAACAAACAAATCAGGAGCATGATAGGCCAACAGTTTTAATAAAGAAAGAATCCTGTACAATAATGCATTGAGCAAAGATAGATTTGTTGACCTGCTTTAAGCTACAAACAACAACACTACTGTATTTTACGAACAACTATTGATATCCAGGCCTATCCTGTTCCATACATTCCTAAACAGGTCATAGCTCAAATGTGGCATATAGAACCGTGCATGTTAAAGAAGTACTTTGAAAACAAACTTATCTTCATTGTGCTGTCTTTACTGTTGTGTTAGTTACCTTGTTATATTTGTAAACAAATCATAAAGCGTAGCCTATGTGAACAGTAAGTTTAGCTTGCGTCCACCAGGTGTGGTGGGTATACTTAGGATATATGTTACCTACTTAAAACGTGATTGACATCAACGGTGGCTAGTGAATGACCCACTTATTTTATTGTGTTGCGGTTGTATTATCACAATGTAGGTTTTTGTAAGGATAATGATAAGGTACAAACATAACGCTGATAGACAGCCCACCTTTCCCGACACAGGCTACTAACATACTACAGAATCACCGTATCACAGCCATAAACTCTAACTTTACTGTAAATTTTACCTTTATTTTCGGCATGACTATAGCTCTGATAAATCTATTCTGACCAGTATTGGAACCTTGGAACGCGTGTCCTAATAATGTCGCTCTAACAAATTGAGCTATCAGGTCAAGGTCAATTATCGTACACTAAAGTTTTATCCAAACCGAAATTAAAAGTTGGGGTTGGGGATGGGGAGGTCATTGTTATTATCTTGCCAATAGTGTGACTGGCACTCTTAACAAATGACGGTACTTGGGTAACCATTATGTCGCGTGCTAATTCTTTATTCGTGTTTGAGGAGCACACGTACCTTAAGATGTGTGTCTGTTGTGAAGGCAACACGATTGAAGTATATGATATTATCTAAATAAGTAAGGAGAACTGCAGAGGACACCATTGCCAGTGTCTCCGACGATCTTGGCGGTCATCATATAACTTATTGCTCCCAAAACTGGCAAAGAGCGCTAGTTACTGTATTCCAACTGCTATCGCGGTCATACTTTTCATTGAATAAGTAATATGATATTAACCAATAAGCATAATCATTAAAGAATAAACATTACGAAAGATAACTGGAAACATTTTTTGGAACATTATTTGGCTTCGATAAAGATTTCGCCTTTCGCTTCCTCCGTTATCTGATGTAGAAAGTGAGCGGCGTTCTACTGATTTATTTACGTCATACCTACAACGTTTGAGATCACAGGTCAATTTTCAGAGTCCGACTGGTCGTTTTATTGTATTGGTAATCGAAAACACAAATCATAAAGTTATTTAGACCATACTGTGTGATATATAGAAACAAGTGGTTGAAAGAATGTTAATTTACAGCAAATGATAAAAAATATATTTTAGAATAATGTCATATATTCCTCAGACGAACCGTACAACGGAGACGTTGTCTAGTATCCTGCAAATCTCTGATACTTGTTCGGAAACGTTATTCATCAAAGTCAGGAGCCAGCTGGAAGACTTCCGGCTCGAAATCAAAACAGGTAAAACACGGATACTAATACAATATAAGTAATGTTCTTAAAGAAAAGCTCTCTATACTTTCATAACAAATGTTCGTTTTTATATAAATACAGTCTTTTCTAATTTGAGTGCTGTGCATGGAAGGTTAATTTCCCTATATAAGGAATCATTCATTTTATACGTAAGATCCATCATATTATGTACTATTTAATTTGAGGATAATATGACGACATGATACGACATACAGTATAGGTATAAAAAAAACCCGCTATGAGGCTAATCCGACATATATATTTCAAATTTTGTCATTATGCTTAACATCACAAAATGGTCGGCTCTGCTGGAGAACCACCAGTCTCCGAAGTTGGACGTAACTTGGTAGCTGGAATCAATTCTGGCACGTTTTATATGACTGGTGTAAAGACAGATTATCCGTACTGACCTTTTGTAGCGTTGTAAAGGGGTTTATAGACACATTTCTCTTTTTCGCTGTATTCTAAATGTTTTGGAACACTTTAGACAGGTGTTTTTTTTCATTCTTTTGACATTTAATACCACCAATGAGTCCTAAAAGGCAGAAATGGTTATATGACAAGGGTATGCATCGTGTATATGTGTTTTCTTACTTTGTATGTGAAGTAATTTTCTATTGTGCGTCTCTACTGTCATTGCGGTTTTGTGCGAGCCACATTTTTTATGTTTCCCTGTTGTAGGTATACCACCCCGCTACGATGCCCTGGCCAGTACAGCTGATATCACAGGTTCCCATTACAGCTTCATCTTTAAAGCTGTAGTGACAACACTATTGATGCTTCCAATCGCTACATTTTTGGAGATGGTGATCATGTAAACAAACCAATTAAAGAGATTACCTAGTGAAAAAAGAGCCAACATGCCGACTGTAAACTAATTATCGTATACCGAGAAATTTTCGCTGCAGTTCAAATTTTCTTTTCGCCCTCATTTCAGAGGGTACATTTATCATAATAGCGAATAAAAGTGAACAGCATAAAACATAGGAATTAAATGTGAAGGGCAAAATTAACACTTGGTGAAAATGTCCCGGTATTCGTTATTAATGTTTGTAAGGTTACGCTTCTGTTACACGATTATCGATAACCCCGATACCTGCATGTCCAGTGACAATGTTTAGAGTATGAGGTTAGGTTGGAGTAATGAAACAATGTTTGAGAAAGAAACTTCCCTCTGTTTTACTTAGACAATGGCTGGACATTGGGACAACCGGTTTTGCGGTGTTTACTATAATCAGAACATAGAGGGAACATCGCTTTGTTCATCTCTATGAAACATTCTATTTGCAGTGAAACCCCAACGGCTATTATTTATATATTGAATAATTTCATTGGAGGTCTTAAAATACACACCTTCGATAGATAAGGTATCAACAGTGTTATCTATTTAGAGTAAATAGTTTATCATCTTTCAGTATTATCTTCTGGTTTATCGTTATGTTTACCTAACATACCATAGCGTGTTGCTCATGTGAGTATTTGTGACACATTTTGATAAATATACATCAGTCATCTCCCTTTGTCAGATTATCTAAATCCTTTAATGCTCTTGTTATTAAACGCTTGTGTTTCGAGAAACCAACTAATTTCATTCATAATTTTGATTTTCGTTAACATTTATATTTCCAAAACCTTGAGCCCTATGTAGTTGGTAAGGCAATACGTTTATTGTTGGACTATTTGTTGAATCTGTTGTGTTTATATATGTTTCACATAAAATTGCACGACGCTGCTAATGACATAATGGTTTGGTGCCTGTCTTCGTAGGACATAATGGTTTGGTGCCTGTCTACGTAGGACATAATGGTTTGGTGCCTGTCTACGTAGGACATAATGGTTTGGTGCCTGTCTACGTAGGACATAATGGTTTGGTGCCTGTCTACGTAGGACATAATGGTTTGGTGCCTGTCTACGTAGGACATAATGGTTTGGTGCCTGTCTACGTAGGACATAATGGTTTGGTGCCTGTCTACGTAGGACATAATGGTTTGGTGCCTGTCTACGTAGGACATAATGGTTTGGTGCCTGTCTACGTAGGACATAATGGTTTGGTGCCTGTCTACGTAGGACATAATGGTTTGGTGCCTGTCTACGTAGGACATAATGGTTTGGTGCCTGTCTACGTAGGACATAATGGTTTGGTGCCTGTCTACGTAGGACATAATGGTTTGGTGCCTGTCTACGTAGGACATAATAGTTTGGTGCCTGTCTACGTAGGACATAATGGTTTGGTGCCTGTCTACGTAGGACATAATAGTTTGGTGCCTGTCTACGTAGGACAAAATAGTTTGGTGCCTGTCTACGTAGGACATAATGGTTTGGTGCCTGTCTACGTCAATATTACATTGTTTTTTAGGTTCTGTGTCGTCTCCCTCTCAATTTAACATTGTGGTTTGCTATGTTAAATTTCCTCTGTTAGTATGACGTTAAACTGTATATTCCCTGTGCCTACCAATGTACATTATTGTATTGTTATGTTTCCTCTGTGTTCCATTATCTCACTATTAATGTTAACGATCATATTGATGATTTTATACCATTACGTTATATTTTTGTATGCTTCACTGGGACACAGATTCAATACTAACAGACCAATGCAATAGGGTTATCCCAGATGTCTTTTTTTTTTTATATGTATGGCATGCGACTTCTGTATGATAACGTTATTTGTTCTCATTATCATAATACTCATGTCATACTGGACAGTATGCAGGGCACATTGTATAACTGTAACAGAAATGTTCTGATATAACACGTTTCAGATAATACTTGTACCCAATTGTTATGATTTTGTTACTTTTTATTTTGTTGCAATATTTTTTGAGATACCATCATAAATATATTGGTATTAATTTTGAACGTAAAATTATTGGCTCAATATTACCGTATATATATGTAATTGACTCCATATTACAGTACACAGCTATGTAATACCGTTCACAGTTTTATAATAATAATTGACTCAATATATAACCTTACACAGCTATGTAATTGACTCAATATAACCTTACACGGCCATCTAATTGACTCAATATTCATAACTAAGTTACGTAATAAGCGCAATTTGGCAATGCATGTTGATTAATTATGTGATCGACTCAATATTCCAGTACCAAGCTTTGTTAAATGTAAACCTAATTGACTCAATATTAAAACGCAGAGCCTAGTTATATTTTTATTTAGATTACTCAATATAATAATACATAGCTTTGTTATATTAGTATTTAATGGACTCAATATAACAGTGCAGAGTTTTGTTATGTAACTTGTTCATGAACTCAATATAACCATACAGACCTTTGTTTCATTTCTATTTAATGGACTCAATATTACAGTACAGAGCATTGTTACATTTGTATTAAATGAACTCAATATAAATATACAGACTTTTGCTTCATTTCTATTACATTGACTCAATATTACAGTACAGAGCTTTGTTACATTTCTTTTTAATGAACTCAATATAACTATACAGTCCTTTGTTTCATTTCTATTAAATTGACTCAATATTACTGTACAGAGCTTTGTTCCATTTCTTTTTAATGAACTCAATATAACTATACAGACCTTTGTTTCATTTCTATTAAATTGACTCAATATTACAGTACAAAGCTTTGTTACATTTCTTTTTAATGAACTCAATATAACTATACAGACCTTTGTTTCATTTCTATTAAATTGACTCAATATTACAGTACAGAGCTTTGTTACACTTCTTTTTAATGAACGCAATATAACTATACAGACTTTTGTTTCATTTCTATTAAATTGACTCAATATTACAGTACAGAGCTTTGTTACACTTCTTTTTAATGAACTCAATATTACTATACAGACCTTTGTTTCATTTCTATTTAATTGACTCAATATTACAGTACAAAGCTTTGTTACATTTCTTTTTAATGAACTCAATATTACTATACAGACCTGTGTTTCATTTCTTTTTAATTGACTCAATATTACAGTACAGAGCTTTGTTACATTTATATTTAATTGACTCAATATTACTGTATAGACCTTTGTTACATTTTAATTGGCTCAATTATACATTACAAAGCTTTGTTTCTTTTTGTATTTGATTGACTCAACATAACAGGACATACCTTATTTGTGTGATTGATTCAATGCTGCAGCACAACGTTAACTTAGATTCCATCTTGTATTTTCATTAGCAGAAGCCTCTACTTTTGTACGAAATGTTTTCAGTGGTATACCAATAGCTAGTCTAAAAAGCACTTTTTAATATGAATATGGCCAGACATATGGCAAGTCTTTTTCTGACTGTTCATTGTGAAAAAAATTATCTTATTTTGTATCGCACCTGTACTGATTAGTGTTAAATCCTGATATTTTAGCCTACGAAGAAAGATTGAAATATGATTGTAATTTAAGTTAGTCAAAACGTATAACTAACATTAGTTGTATTAATTGTCACTCTATAAGTAAATGGCCCTTCTGATGTTAAGTTATACTTACCTATGAAATAACATTATAATTCAGACGATTTCTAGTATAAAGCATACCAAGATGTTTTTTTACGAGACTGATAGAAGGATACATAACGCACATGTTCTGTTTATTTAGTTCCATAACACAAGCTCTACCTTTGTTATTTGCATATCGCAAGCTCTGCCTTTATTTAGTTACGTAACACGGGCTCTGTCTTTATTTAGTTACGTAACACGGGCTCTGTCTTTATTTAGTTACATAACACGGGCTCTGTCTTTATTTAGTTACTTAACACGAGCTCTGTCTTTATTTAGTTACGTAACACGGGCTCTGTCTTTATTTAGTTACATAACACGAGCTCTGTCTTTATTTAGTTACATAACACGGGCTCTGTCTTTATTTAGTTACATAACACGAGCTCTGACTTTATTTAGTTACATAACACGGGTTCTGTCTTTATTTAGTTACATAACACGGGCTCTGTCTTTATTTAGTTACGTAACACGGGCTCTGTCTTTATTTAGTTACATTACACGGGCTCTGTCTTTATTTAGTTACATAACAAGGGCTCTGTCTTTATTTAGTTACATAACACGGGTTCTGTCTTTATCTAGTTACATAACACGGGCTCTGTCTTTATTTAATTACATAACACGGGCTCTGTCTTTATTTAGTTACTTAACACTGGCTCTGTCTTTATTTAGTCACGTAACACGGGCTCTTTCTTTATTTAGTTACATAACACGGGCTCTGTCTTTATTTAGGTATGTAACACGGGCTCTGTCTTTATTTAGTTACATAACACGGGGTCTGTCTTTATTTAGTTGCATAACACGGGTTCTGTCTTTATTTAATGACATAACACGAGCTCTGTCTTTATTTAGTTACGTAACACGAGCTCTGTCTTTATTTAGTTACATAACACGGGGTCTGTCTTTATTTAGTTGCATAACACGGGTTCTGTCTTTATTTAATGACATAACACGAGCTCTGTCTTTATTTAGTTAAATAACACGGGCTCTGTCTTTATTTAGTTACTTAACACTAGCTCTGTCTTTATTTAGTCACGTAACACGGGCTCTGTCTTTATTTAGTTACATCACACGGGTTCTGTCTTTATTTAGTTACATAACACGGGCTCTGCCTAATAATTTAAACGCTTGTGTTAATTTTTACTTTGGATACTTAAAGCTCTGTCTTTATTTAGTTACATAACACGGGTTCTGTCTTTATCTAGTTACATAACACGGGCTCTGTCTTTATTTAATTACATAACACGGGCCCTGTCTTTATTTAGTTACATAACACGAGCTCTGTCTTTATTTAGTTAAATAACACGGGCTCTGTCTTTATTTAGTTACTTAACACTGGCTCTGTCTTTATTTAGTCACGTAACACGGGCTCTGTCTTTATTTAGTTACATAGCACGAGCTCTGACTTTATTTAGTTACATAACACGGGTTCTGTCTTTATTTAGTTGCATAACACGGGTTCTGTCTTTATTTAATGACATAACACGAGCTCTGTCTTTATTTAGTTAAATAACACGGGCTCTGTCTTTATTTAGTTACTTAACACTAGCTCTGTCTTTATTTAGTCACGTAACACGGGCTCTTTCTTTATTTAGTTACATAACACGGGCTCTGTCTTTATTTAGTTACTTAACACTAGCTCTGTCTTTATTTAGCCACGTAACACGGGCTCTGTCTTTATTTAGTTACATTACACGGGCTCTGTCTTTATTTAGTTACATAACAAGGGCTCTGTCTTTATTTAGTTACATAACACGGGCTCTGTCTTTATTTAATTACATAACACGGGCTCTGTCTTTATTTAGTTCCATAACACGAGCTCTGTCTTTATTTAGTTACGTAACACGAGCTCTGTCTTTATTTAGTTACATAACACGAGCTCTGGCTTTATTTAGTTACATAACACGGGTTCTGTCTTTATCTAGTTACATAACACGGGCTCTGTCTTTATTTAATTACATAACACGGGCTCTGTCTTTATTTAGTGACATAACAAGGGCTCTGTCTTTATTTAGTTACATAACACGAGCGCTGTCTTTATTTAGTTACATAACACGGGCTCTGTCTTTATTTAGTTACTTAACACTAGCTCTGTCTTTATTTAGTCACGTAACACGGGCTCTGTCTTTATTTAGTTACATAACACGGGCTCTGCCTAATAATTTAAACGCTTGTGTTAATTTTTACTTTGGATACTTAATGATTGTTATATTCAATAAAACGTTAATCTATTATCTTTTTGGCCTGTTTTCTTTTGAAAAGAAACCACCAGCTGATCAATTTTATTGAGGAAAGGAAAACGAAAAAAAACCCTGAAAAAACCCATCGAGAAACAACATTACCCTCAAGATGAATAAATACAAATTAGACGAGGTAATGAAAAATGACATACTCAAAACTCAAAGTTGATGAAATACAGATCAACATTTACAGAGGAGACACCAAGAACGAGACTTCGCGAGACCGAGATTAACCCGTGTGCACTGGGAAAGGATGGCTATTCTCGTACCATGGTGATCTACGTCACAAGGAAAATCTTTTTGTTTGTGATGTACACAAGCTTAAGGTGGCTCGACACATCGTCATCAGCGTCCATTTTCGTG